TATATATATATATATACATATCGGAAATATATGTATTTGCATATGTATATACATCTCATATATGTATGTACAAATTGTTTGCTGCTCTTCTTCTTTTCTTCAGAGATAGATTTTAATTAATTCAATAACAAAAGACACCGATATATTTGACAACTAATACATGACAACATATATTACGTAGTCTAAAATATATTGAGCATAATAATAATAATAATAATATTAATAATAATAATAATAATAATAATAATAATAATAATAATAATGATAGCGTTAGTGTTAGGCTCAAATGCCCGTACACAGAAGTATAAATTGAATGAATTGAATGGACGAACGAACGAACGAACGAACGAATGAATGAATGAATGAAGTGAATATTGAAAATTTGATCTTTTGAAAGCTCAATCATTTTTTAGACTTCATAATATAATGAAGCGAGTGTATGCGATGCAATGAATCGAACGATGACTGCAAAGTTTAAATGAATGGCACAGAGGTGGCGATGCTCTCATGATGTTTCATAGTGAGTAATAATGACAATAATAACAAGTTATAATAATAATGAAATTATGAAATAAAAATTCAAAAAATATTAGTGAAGAAAGAAATGCCTTTTAGGTAAGAATTATTTTTCTAACCGATAAAATCCAAAAAAAAGGTTAATATTAGACGAATTAGTGTATAAAACATAGATTAAAAGAAAAAAAAAAGAAAAAAAGGAAAAAGAAATGAACAATCGATTTACAATTAATTTAAGATTAAATGAACACATGAAAAGAAGGATAAATATGTTAACGTACACAAATTTTAATTCATTGTTTATTATATTTTTTATTTTTAAATTTTTTATTTTATCATTTTTTTTTTAAATTTTTTTTTATTTTTATTTTTTTTTTTTTTTTTTTTTAGCAAACAACAGAAAGGAAGTGGTTTCTGAATTTGGTGAATTATATATCTTTTGGATTAGAGACTTAAAAAGCATGTACAAACAATTACGTTTTGGTGTGTATTAAATGTACTATTAAACGAAATGAGTGAAAAGAGATAAATGAAAAGAACCGAAATTGTTTTTCTCACACAAAACACAAAAACGAACCATAAAAGATTAAAAGTAAAAAGAAATTTAATTAACGAAAAAAGGGATTATTACTCAGTGATTGCCTCTTTGAAGTTTGAACTCCAGCGCCAGTTAAACTACAGTGAGAAAATCAATAAGAAGAAGCAAAAAGAAAGAGACACCATACAAAAATTTTAAATAGTAACAGATTCACTACAAAATATTAAACGGTTTTTTTTTTTTTTGGAAAACTTATTATCATTTACTATGTCATATTTATATATAATTGTACATCTGCTCTTCTTCTTGATGTTATTGTCGTTATTCTATCTATTTATTGAGCTTAATCAAAAATATTAATGCATTTCTCTCTCGATTCATTTTTTCACAAAAAAAATTAGAAACAAAAACAAACAACAAAAAATTATTTCCTTTTTTTTTTTTTGTCTTTTGGCACCGATTCTAAATATTAATTAATTAATGGTTTTCATTTGTAGTTGTTGCTTTCGCTGTTGTACATCTTCCTTCTTATTCTTTTTCGTCATGTTTCGCTATTAAGTTTTAGTTTTAGTTTAGTTTAGTAGCAAGTTTGTTTTATATTAATTTTATTTCATTTTAATTTCATTTATTTATTATCAAATCATAGTTTGTTGTAAGTGGAATCGGTGAAGCATTTCTTTGAAACTACTAATTAACCTAGTTGCTCCAATAAAGAGTCCATTCAATTTTGCTTTTTGCTTTCCGCTTTTTATTTATTTATTTATTTTTTTTTTTTTTCTACTAATAATTCTAAACAATTCTGATTATGGCTAATAAAAAATATACGAATAAGTAATTAAAAGAAAAAATCAAATCTAAAACAAATCACCAAGAAAATTGACCAATTTGCAAGTAATTTAAGCAAATGGCTTTTTTCCATCGTTAATTAAGTTAAGCTATTCGTAAATAATTGGTAATGAACGCGCAATATTACTACATAATCAAAATGGTAATAACAATAATGGTAACAATAATAATAATAATAACAATAATAATAATAATATTAATAATAGAAATATTAATAATAGAAATATTATTAATAGAATAAAATAAAAGGTAGTGATACGACCGACGTTTACATTAACGATTTAATGTACATCGATGACATAGAATAGCAAGAAAGAAGAAGAGTAGAGCTGTTTAGCAAAGGCATTCGAATGCAATTTAGATGGGGGAAGTTGTAGGGCGGTAAACATCACGCCCGCAAAACACTGTGAAGATGACAGCCTCACTTTCCTTCAATACTGATAATGGCATAATGGAAAGGTTGAGTAAGGAAGGAACCCACAAATACCTTGGCTTTCTTCAATTAGAAGGTATACTGGCGCAGGAAATGAAAGATATGATAAGATTCACACATTTGAACGATAGTAGTAGTAACGACATTGAAAACCAACATCAACTCAAAAGACATATATGAAACTTATGCTATACCAGTATACAACTACTCTTTTCGAGTTGTGAAACCGAGTAGCGAACGGGCACCCAGATGATGAAAATAGAGCAAAAAAAGTCACAGGCTAAAAACTCAAGCACATACTTTAGGCCGCAAACAGCAAGCGCTATGACAGAAATGCTGGTGAAAATAGATAAAAATTACACGTAATTAATTTTAAGTAGCAGTATTGGCGAGGAGCCAAGCAATGTATTAATTGGATCCGAAAACATTTACACGGAAATCATGCGAATGGGATGGCAATAGACCTGTAGAGTACATATCAATGCAATACGCGATAGTGTAATATACGCACGACATTACCGAAGGCATGTACTGAGGCAAAAACGTAGAAAGAGACCTATGCCGAAGGAATCAACAGATCGTATTATCGCCGGATTAACTCCTATCAGGGAATTTCCTCAATAGGCAATATAGCGGTTCAAGCATTGGCGGATACGTACAATATACAAATACAGCAAAGTACTAGCCAAGCGCCGATAATAAACAGCGAGAATGCTACGATATGCTGGGACAGACACGACATAACTGTCCGGCCAATTAACGCTGATAAACAGGACATGATTGTACAAAATTGGCAGAATAAGACGATCGATGTTAGAGATGTTAAAATCCCGCTTACGCAAAACGTGCAAACACAAACGTAACTATATAATGTTCTGGAGAAGGCAAGGAAAGGATTGCTGCTCCCTGCATACAGCAAGAACAATGATCGCAGCTGCTATGGTAATATTAAAAATAAATCACGAAAGCATGAAGAGACAATTACAAAACCGCCCGCCCCTTCGGAGTATTTTCCTTGACCTGATCTGATGAAGAATGCGGTATCTCAATAAGAGAAATAAGTTCTAAGATTAAGGACTTAAAAAGTGTGCCCTAGTATGCGCTAGCTAATACGCTATCGGCTTTATTAAAAACTCTCTTGCACTTGAGATTTGAGTTCACGATCACAAGCATCCTTTGTCTTTGTCGGCGACTTGGAAGTATTTGAATTATGATGATAGTAATAATAATAATAATTTTAATAATATTAAAATTCATAATAATAATAATAAATCATGTATAAAATTATATCATATTATATGAACGGAACGAAATTTATATTAATTATAAATAAAGGATTAAAATGTTTAGATAAATTGGAAATTTCGACTATGCTTAATCACTATGGTATATGCACAGATATTAATTAATTTGTGGATTATAAAATTGTTAAAACGCTATTGAAACTCTGAATGCAATTAGTGAGGGAACGATGAAATCTTTTGAGCTTACCTTGTCGGCTGTAGAAACATCAGCTGATCGGGGAGGATCTTCATTAATTTGAGGCTCACTTGGAGGTAATCTCTGTTCTTGTACACTGGCCAATCTGCAAGTATGATCCGTAAAGCGCAAATAATGTATGGATAGTTAAAGAAACGCACACGCACACGTACATATAACAAAAAATCAATAAAATTGGAATCTTATCAAAATGAAAAGACATATATATATATATATATATATATATATATATATATATATATATATCCATTCTCCCTTTATATTATGACTTTTAACACAGATTATCCCTATATTAGATGAACATTGAATTATTAGACAGTGTGGGGTGCATTATATTGCATTCTATTTTCCTTTTTATACTTGTCAATATTTTTTGCTTAAGATTTCATAATTAATTAATTAATTTCTACTGATAATATATTGCATTATTTATCTAATGATTTTTACCTTTTCAAAGTGACAAGAGTGCCTGTTAACTTTTTGCAACGTCTCAGAGCCGATTCTAAACGATCGGGTTCATCTTTTAGGAACTTTTCTTCGCGCACGACTTTCTCCATTTCGTTGGAGAGAATACATCGTAGTCCATTAGCTAATGCCGGAAATTTCATTTTTAATTCGGCCACAGTTTTGCTACCATAAAGTTAATGATTGATAAAAAAATGTAAAATCAAATGAATTTCCGGTTATACCCTACCTAGCTCTGCTTAAAACTAAGGCCATATCTTCGACTGCAGTCATGTTAACTCTTGTTCTACGATTAATCACTTCACCCCGTAAACTTTCTACTGACGCTTCCAGATCACTTAAATCCTTTTCCAGACGTATTACTTCCTGTTTATAGAGTTCTTCTTCGCGTGATATGCGGGTAGCATCTTGATCGCCCTGATGTCCGCCCCATACGCTTCCACTGCTGGCCAATAGTGTAGCACGTATACGCATAAATGTACCCTTTATATCCTCGCGAACCGCTACGGCTTGAGCTTGTGACAATCTTCGCAACGTGCGCACTTCCATACGCAGATCTTTAGCTTTTTTTTGCAGACCACGTAAATGATTATAGACTTCCGGAGCTAAAGCAATATCAGCCCGATAATTCGAGTGAGCTGTTTGAGTCAAAACTATAGGTTTAGGAGGTGGTGGTGGTTTTAAACGATCGCGTTCTATAAAAATGTGATAAAAAAACTCTATACAAAAATCTTTTTTAATTAGAAAAGTATGGAGGAGGTTGGGGAAAACTTTAGTAAGTAATTTAAAAAAAAACTCTTTTTCACAACATTTAGAATAGAATTTTAATGAAATAAAATCGTGTATTATACAGTGAAGAGATTGTAACTAATTGTAATTAAAGAATATCGGATTTCGAATTGACCAATTTGAAATTTTCAAAAAATTTATTTATTTATTAATTGTTTGGTGTAATTATTTAAAAGGAAAAGAATAAGATAAAAGAAAAAACTTACCCTGCGATGAGGTTCTTGGCAATGTGGAGGATTTAATGGCTGGTTTTGTGGGTTTTGTATCAGCTTAAAACGCGTTAATATGGCACAAAACAAAAAACATAAATGAGTTTTTAATGACATGGTTACAGAAATGCTTAAATACACAACATTTTTCTACAAATTATTGTAATATCGGCATGCACTGAGAGAAATCGAAATCGAAACAGATACGGAGAGAGAGAAAGAGAGAGAAAGAGAGAGAAAGAGAAAGAGAGAGAAAGAGAGAGAAAGATAGATAGATAGATAGATAGAGAGAAAAAGAGAGAGAGAGAGAGAGAGAGAGAGAGAGAGAGAGAGAGGGAGAGAGAGAGAGATTTATATAAATGTCGAGAGCGGAAGTGAAATTGCTTAGTATCGCGCTAAGCGCCTGGGCCAGAATCAGTCTTGCCTTCTTGTTTAGAAAGAAAATAAGGCTCTTCCCGCATGTCACACGCAGAAAGAAATCCTAGTGGAAATTTGATGTTAAAAGAACAAAAAAAGGTTAAGTAGCGGCTTGATAAGCCCATTAGTTGGGACAAACTCCAAGGCGATGAAAGAGTAAATGCGATGAGTAAAATGTTGTGATTTTCTTTTCTTTTCTTCGTGTGCTTTTTTCCCCGAAATGTGATGAAATGCTTTCATTCCAAAAAATATATTTTGTATAGATAAGTTAAGGTAATATCAAAAAAAAAAAAGCTTTACTGCATTCAGATAAATTAGTTTTAATTAAATTAACCGAACATGCGTTTAAATTACATATATGTGTAAAACAGGCAAAGTAATTACCGGCATGTTGTGGACTATGGGCTTTCGGTATACCCTGTATATCATCACTAAACGAAACGCTTTTCTCGAATGACACCGATTTCTCTGCAATGATAGTACAAATCCCATCACCATAGAATTTTTTTTTCAAATTAATTTATTTATTTAATTTTTTTTTTTTGCACGGTTTTCAGTTCGTTATACTTACGGCATGCATTTTTGCCTAATTTTGGTGCCTTTTCCCTAACATAAAGATCCTCTCCAGCACCGTTAACTATATCAAGTGTTCCAAATTTATGATGTAGACAACAACAACAACAACAACAACAACAAAATGATGATTTGTTTTTTGCATATTTAAAAAAAAAAATTTTTTACAGTGTAGCAGGAAAAATGTGATAACAAAGGTGAAATTTGTTTGTTTATTTATCGAAGCGATTCAAAAAGCAACAATATTACTAATGATAGACAGACAGACAGTTAATTGGCTGGTGGAAATGAATTTTATTTAATTTTTTTTATATGTTTTTTTTTTGTTTTTTCTGGCACTAGTGTTTGAAGAAAAAGCTGCTATGTGGTGTGAGCAAGTGTGCCTGTTCAAAGTGAGGCAGTAAACATACCGTGACATTGTGTGGGTACAACCAAATAATTGGCATCCAAAGTTGGCACTGCCATGGGAGCTATTTGCGGATTTTGATTAACGAGAGCCTTCTGCACCAGGCCCGTTAAATTGGCCAATTGGCGTTCCATGTGTTCAACCCGTATTCGATGTAAATCTTCTGGTCTGTAATTTGATTGAAAAATAAAATAAAATGAAATGCGATGAGAAGACGGCAGACACTAAATAAATTAAAAACAATTTTAATTACTATGATATTAAATTATTAAATTATTTAGACCGCGATAATTGCAAACGATAACGATTCTTGCGCAAAAATGTTTTTTGCGCATTGTGTTCGTTTAATTAAGTTATTGAAGGTGAAGTAAAAACACTTGAAAATGGATTATTGCAGCAGTAAGTCATTCGTCGAGGCTTCGGATTGCTCAAGTTTATGTTCATTTATTATCTTCTTTTTCGAATTCTTCTTCTTATACTTCGTCTTCCTCTTCTTCTCCTCCTTATTATTATTATTATTATTATTATTATTATGATTATTTTTATTATTTTGTCTCGTTATAGTTACCGATCCTCTGTTATTTAGGAACTGTTTAGACAGTTTAAGCATAACAGAGCTATTAAGCTTAAAGCACTCCTTAAATAATTTGGAAAAAAAGAAGGAGAACATGGCTAGCATTTCCACAAAGCTTGCAAAACATGACATTTCAAATGTATCTTCGGAAGAGGAGAGCAGCGTAGAGCCTATCGCATTGCCTTTGATGGCAGACGTCAGGTAAATGAAATTTTCATTTGAACGCAATGGCGAAATCAAAAATGAATAGATTTTTGCAGAGACTATGTACCCGTTATGTACGATTACAAAGACTCGTGGCAGCTGGCCGAAAAACCTTCAAAATTTCAAACGTTTTTTCAAATAACAGTTACAACTTTAGCTTTTCTATCGTTCGGTGGATATCTTCTTTGTCTTATAGTGCATGCTATTAAAAATAAGGGTAAGTTATAATTATAGCGATCGATCAAGTAGAAAAATTCAATCACAGCTTGATTTCATTTAGGTCCGATTACATATTTGCACCCAATGGCGCCTACAGCGGACCCAAATTCAAACCGAATTAAACCTATTAAAATTTATAAACGTAACCGTAGATCTATAATTACCACTAATCCTTATATTTTCTCTAATCAACCTTATCGACATTACTTTACTTAATAAATTTGCCAAAAAAAAAAATTAAATTTGTTTACCTGGTTGGCTCATATAATTGATTAGGGCGAGCTAAACGGCCAGGCCCTATTTTCATGCCATACAAAGCGTACTGATCCTCGTTGAGAGAAACGTCACTAAAGGCAGAAGAAATTTCATTATTATATATATTACTATAATTATTTCTTTGATTTTTGGAAAAGGATTTAACTTATTGATTGAACAGTGACTTACGCTTGTTCTTCATCGATTATAGGTGCTATTACCGGACCTCTGGTACCATATTGACTATAGTAAGGTTCCTCGTAATTGCCGCGTGTCGATCGCTCCGGCGAGCTGGTGTAACCATCTGAAAATTATACCCGTATACCATATAATCACTTAAGTTTCATTTAAGTCTCCTTTTGTATTTTTAACATAATTTTATATAAATTATAAGAATAAGAAATTTTTTTGATCTACTAAAGAAAGTACAGAAATAAATTTTACTATCTAAGAATTAAGCTCATTTGAACTTAATTAACTTAAACTCTCTTTCAATTTAACCAATTTTCATAATCATCAAAATAGAAGGAACGAAAAGAAAAAAAGCCGTTTTTCGTTTTTTGCTTTCAACAAGTACCTGGTATACTGTATAACTGATCCGGGGGATAAGGAAACAAGGGTTCCATGCTACCCCTGGAGTTGGGCGTTCTTAAAGGTTTCAATGGCGTTCCTAAGTATGTATTCACATTCGATTTTTTGTTTGTTTGATTTTTAATACAACAATAACAACACAACAGTTACGATTACACATATATAACCAAAAGAAGAAAAACAAATTGTCTACTGGTTATGCTCTTTATTTGCCTGTTTTTCATTTTTTTTTCTTATACCCACCATCGCAGAGACAAGAAAACATTAAAAATTTTGAATCAATTCAATTCCATTTGTATGTCCGTACGTTCGTCCATTCACTTCGAACGCTTGCCATTCGTCTAGCACGGTGTTACATTCACATTCTCAGTTAACTGTTTAATTGATGATGAATCTGAGCTTGGGCATGCAGTTTGCTTACATAAAAATCACGAACTTTCAAGTTTGGTGAAAAGATGCCGCAACCATATTCCTTGCCTCAATATATTGACCTGAAAATTTTATAGGAGTGTTTCGTTAAGGTCGCTCAATAAACTGATGACACGGCCCCGAATAAGCGAAAAACATTTTGCAATTATAATGCACCGATTTGCGATGATGGGTATCAACGATTCGTTCCAAAGCGAATATAACTTTCTTTGTTGTTCTGATTTAATTCAAATTCTCAATTAAATCAAAATCCATTCGTCCAACATGCATTGGAATGTCATTAATAAACTTGTTTATGTGAATGTATACATATATACATATATTGCATATATATTTGTATTGCATGTTTAAGTATATATAGGTATATATAAGTATAATTAATGTATGCATGTGGAATATACTGTAGAATTATTGTTCAATTGTTTTTATAGTTCGTTTGCTTTTAACTTACCCATGGGTACCTTTTGGCGCTCAGTGGCATACATCCCACGTGGTAAAGTTTGCGAGGCTCCCACATAATACGGTGCTTGCTGTTGTTGTTTACCAATCTGCAATGAATGATTTCAGAATGTTAAGCAAGAAAATAAAATAAACAAAAACAAACGAATTGCAATTCACTTAAATTTAGTTTACAGAAAATTATCATAATTTATAGTTCCGTTATGCGGCTGTTCGCCTATATTCGTCTATGTTTACCTTTATATATATATATATATATTGATAAAATTTTATATATATATATATATAAGTATATGCGAACGTGGAAAGCATTAAATGCTTCTTGGCTGCTTTTCAATTCTCCGTATGGCAGATTACTCATCAACGCGTGCATTTCACTTTCGATAATAGCTTTTTCTTTTTTTTCACTTCGTGCTATGCTTTCGCTAGTCAGCCTAACATAAATAAATGACACACGACGTTATGGAATGCAATAAATGCTAATGAATTGGGGAACAGTTTTGATGGGAAGAATTATAATCAAACAGGCCAAACATTGTATTATCTATTATTGTTTTATGTTACGTTCACGGATATATATCTATATATTTAAAGTAGAAAATTTGTTAATTTTCTTGCATTGAGCTTCATACGCCTGATAGTATAATGCATTCCTTTGCTATTAATTAACATAAATAATCAATTGATTCCATTGATACTTATGGCAATATGGGGAAATGCTCACCTATACGACTATAAGTTATTATTAAAAATTGAGATAGGTATTACGACTGCTGTGAATGGATTGTCTGGCCATTTTTGAAAGTTAAGTGAACGTCGGCAATACGTTGTTACATGCCTGCTATCGACAAATATTCATTTAGTTTCTTTAATTAGGCCACTCAGTAAATGGCTTATATATATTTGTCTCTCAAGTGTTAAGCAATTTTAAAAGTTTTATTAAATCATGTTGCATACCATACACACCGCATAGACACTTAGTGTATAAATTTAAAAAATATTGTTTTTTTTTAACAGAAAAAAAAAAAAATTGTACGAGAATTAAACAAAAATTAATAAATAAATTAAAATTTTTCACGTTCTGTAATAAAGTGAAAAACAAAAATTTATTTTCTCCCAGTGTTATACTATCATGTACGTTCAGAGATGCGAGAAATATGGCCCCATAAAGGAATTTTTACCGAAAGTGAAAGGCCAATATGCCTAACTAGCTGTTAATATATTACTTTTTATAATTTTTCTACATTTAAAATGAAAATCCGCATTCATCATACTCGTATACCTATCTATTCTGTAAAATAGGTGCTTGCATGTATTTCGACCAATGGCATCTATTGACGAGAATGTTACACTAATGCAAACTATTCCATAAAACACCAGTTTTCCATTTAATTTTATTGAGCTATTTAAATATATACAGACGCTAATCATGGAACGGTCAAAATTGCATTTTCTTTGTTGTGTGATTTGAGGAAATCTGCTGCCAACCACCACATTCCACCACCAAACGCGTTCAGAAGCTTATGGTCAAAAAAGTTCAGTGACCATGAATTGCAAAACTTATTGACCGAAATCCAGCTCAAGCTTTCAAAAATTCTTCAAACGCCTTAGCAGTTGACGAATCGACTGTATCTAGACGTTTACATGCGATCGGAGAGATTCCAAAGAAATTGACTGAAATTGTCATTTCGAACCGTTTGAATATCAAACACTTTTAAAAGCTGCGGCCATTCTATCTCACATATCGGGTTTGGCTTCAGCGGCAATCGCAATGACAAAGAACGGCCTAATGGATTAAAAACAAGGCCGCACTCAACGTACCCACCAGACATAATGCCTTCTGATTACCACTTACTCGGATCGATGCAGTATGCCATTGGCTGGCACGCGAAAATGCGTCGGCGTGACACCAAAATATTTTTCTTCCGACATCGTATCGGCATGTTGCCCATAAGATGGCAAATAAGAAAATGTAGAGCTTACACCAGTTGATGGTAAATATTTCATCTTAGTTCGTTTTAATGCATTAGCACGTTTCTTAACTGAAACACATAGTAATTGAGATTATTTACAATCTCAAGTCAATAGCGTAGAGTTCCACATTTCTTTAGCATCAGAATAGGAATATTTTTTATAAAGTTAAGGTTCTAAGCAAATTGTAGTCTAATAATAATTTTCATTGCACTAAAAGAAGGTTAAGTTGCAACGACTCCTTTTGTGAAAGACTTTAGCGTGGAGATCAATTTTGTGCATACATATATATAGATATATATGTGTGTGTGGATGAAAATTATATACGTACCATAATGAAGTTTTTTAATACCAAATAACTTCTTCACCAAACTGAATAGACAACGTAATAACGATTCAAGCAATTCATGTTCGTTTTGGGCTAATTTCCTAACAATTTCTCTTAAGTTTGAGCAGACGTACATATATACAATATATAAAGAAGTTAAAACTTTATAATCAGGCAAAAAGAACTGTCAAATATAGAATGCTTTCAAATACACAATTTTGCTTAACGCAATTGAGAAAATGTCCGCGCTGTGGAATCCTAATACTAGAAGACGTCCAAAACGTGAACTTACTTCCTTCAAACATAGCAACGATAATTTTCTTCTCAAAGAACTAATTTTTGTGTATCTAATTTCTTTATAAAATATCAAAAATCATGCCTGGTTTCCATACCTGTTTTTCTCTGTGCAATAAAAGTCTGCAGGAACCAAGCTTAGTTTAGTAAATTTATATGTCGGATCGTTATTCTGGCTACATACAGTTTTATCATTTGTGTGGTGACTGGGTGAAGGGGGGAGGGGGCGGGCGAGTTTGTTTTAAAAATGCTTCCCTCGCATTTAGACTTTCCATATATTCCGCATTTACTTTGCCAAAGTGCTATATGTTATCTTTCCTTTTGTCGGGAAGTATTGAAGATTGCCAATTTATTTCCTTTTGGGTGCATGTGAAAGTCAATTAACTTTCAATAGTGTTTATTATTGGGCGTAATATTTTGAAACTTGCAATCGATAGATTGGATAAGAGAAAGAATGGAAAGACGTCGCCTGGACAGATGGACTGGATCTTATTTACCAACAATGAACAAAAGGTGTTTTCACCATCCGTGAAAATGCAATACTATGTAAAAAAGGTCCGTTTCTTTAATGTGCGGATACTCAGATTTTTGGCAGCTGAAATCAGGACAAAAGTCCTGAATAGCTGAAGCTACTGCAGTTCATCAAATATACATAGACATTAGCTAGAGAAGTATATGCTATGATAAGTTAGAATATGTTATAACTTAAAGAAAAAGTATTGAAAATTTTTTTTCGCTCAATTTTTTCTATTAAGGTTTTGCTTTCATTGAAAATGAGTTTTATTTAACTAAATAAAGGCCATTGATCTCTCTATGACTTTTTACCATCTTACGGGAAGTTGCACAATCCCATCGATTGTTTAAGCGATCACTTCGGTACAACGAGGTGAATTTTTCCGTTCCAAATTTTTGAAGCCCAAGTGAGCAAAGCATCTACGTAGTATTGCATTAAACAATGCATCTTGATCATAAACATTACAAACTTTTCCCGCGGTTTTGACTTAAAAATTTTGAGTTTTGCCTAAAAAAAAAAAAAATTTCACTCATTTTCCCACTAACATAACTTTGAACACGATTAGCGAACTGCACAATTGTCTACTCGAAAATCGAGAACCGAAATATCATCATTCAAAAACGCGTCAGTCATTGTAACACAGCCCGAAACACCATTCAGCGATAAAAAAATCTCTCAATAACTCTTTATTCTAAGGTAATGCATTATTTGTTTGGCAACATTTTATGCCGACTAACTTGGAGCTTTTTTTCCATGCGCATGTGCTTCATACAAAGCATGTACAAATGCAGAGAAATCTCATAATATTCGACTTTTCAAGCCAAATTAATACTCGCTACACTACACGAGACACAGATCCTTCTCTGAAACATCTCGTCTTCTTTCGTGATTACATTGTTCGAGTTTGCTGTCAAATTAATAAGAATTCTCCATTCACTTAAACTTAATAAAGCATTTTATAGATTAGTGATAATGTATTTAATAAGTGACTGGAAAAATATAGACCATGAGCAATGATGTTGATGATAGTCTAAACCTTGGGAGATAGAAAATGACTCTGAATCGCTTGTTACAATGAAACATGAGTTGTCGAAACTCCTACACATATTCTGCTCGCAAACGATGTCCGGTTTAAAGGCATGTAAAGCATAAAAGCATTGTAAAGACACTTAATGAGATTGAAAGGTAAATAAACGCGCAAGTGCCATGAGTTTGCATTCGTAATTATCCCTAGAACCAGTAATTGTGAATTAATTATTATCTCTAAGCCTCTTTTCTTTTTAACTTAGCATTCCACATATGCGGTACTTGAATAGTAAAAAAAAAAAGCAAAAAAAAAAAATAAAAAACAGAATATTTAGTTTGCACCGCATTTTCAATAACCGCCTCTGTCTCTCTTAAAATAAACTGCGAAAGAAAGCCGCCATGAATTACTTATCGTACATTTTACTGTCTTCACATAGAGAATACATTGTTTATATTCGGCCTATGCCGAATAGTATGCTCGTTCGATGTAGTTGGTTTTCGAACTTTTCAGGTTATCTGAAATAATCTGAAATATCGGTGAGAAAACTTGTTTTTATTTTTCTTTTTTTTTGCTTGAAACGAATACTTTGAACTTCTGGTGACGGAATAATGCGAAATTGAAGATGGACAGAAGCGAGATACTTCCTCTTATTCCCTGCTATGGCTTAGTAATGTAAATCGTGAAAATCTTTAGTTTCTAATTGAAGGTAAAGGGGCAATTGGACGCCGGACACTAATCATTCTCACTAATCAAGTTGAATTTGAGAGAAGGTCATGACGTCAATGGGCACATAGGAGTATAGAGAGAGTTCGATGCTATAATAATTACGTTCACTTTGCTAACGCTAACGTTTATAGAGAATATATATGCGTTACAAGCACTTAAACGATTTAATACATCCTCTGCGGCGGACGTAAAAGCAAAGGAATTTAAGCATAAATCCGTTTGCAAAAGAAATACAAAAAAAAGCTCTTTGAAAGTGACAACTTAACTTAAAAAGAGTGAACGAATAATTGAGTTTTTTTGTGTGTATCTTTTTCTTCTTATATCTTATAGTCAGTCAGTCCATGTCTAATGTAGATATAAAATACAAGAAAAAGCTCGGATAGGAAGCTTACAAAGATTTGCGATCATATAAAGTTGTTGTTTGGGCGATCGGTACGTCGTTGTAACGTAGTTGGTATCCGCATTTGCTTACTTTTCTATTGATGTATGTTTTATTTCTATTTTTATTATTACTATTATTTTTCGTTGATTTTTTGTGCTTAACTTTTTTTTGTCTTTTCATTATTGTTTTCTTGCAGTAATGCGTTAAGCGTGCAGAGCAGAGTATCACCGCAAGCCGAAAAGTGCAAACCCAACGCCGGAAAAAATAAAAATCTTTTTACAATAGTTGAGTGCGAACCATCGCGTTAAAAAGACGCGTTTTTTTTTTTTTTTTTTTTTTTTTTGTAAAGAAAACAATTCTTTTTGAATACAAAAAAAAACTGATTTCAATAGTTAGAATAGGAAAAATTGTAGTGAAATTTGTGTGAAGATTCGGATAAAAAAAAAAAAAAAAAAAAAAACCGTATCAATGAATATCATGAAATTTTTTTGGTTACTCTGCTTAATGCAGAGACAGCTTAGTTTGGGTTTGGCCTGGAAGCCCATAGTTGGCCAGCCTGTTGCGCCGGTTTTAGCAAATTCTAAGGCGACTTCAGCAACATATACAAGTGCGTTTAGTCTTCAACAAACTCATCCCGAGTATGGCAGTGAATCAACCGCTTTCGCGGCTATCGAAAGCAAAGATTTGTCTAATCAGGATTCGCTTGCAGCGCAATTAGCAGTGCCTGTGCCTTCATCCACTGCCGTATTAGCTGATAAAATATTAACAGTTAAAACGCCTCATCCATCATTAATTATACCCCCCGCTATCAATTTTGAAGATGCAAAATTTGGCTATCAATCGTTGGCCTTCTCCGGGGTGGGTTACACAAGCCCTATTAGCCTTATTTGCATTAATTTAAATTATAAAATACCTTTCGTTTTTTGTTTGTTAGGATCAATGCGCTGTTGAAAAATATGCTTTCAATCATGATGGTATCGTTGAATACAATAACAAAATGCCAGAACTGAAGCAATTCACGATTTGCTTTTGGATGCGTTTTACAAACCATAGCGGTGATCACGTCGTATTAACATACAGCGGTAAGTCTCGCCTGCCATTATTCTTGCTTACTGTTTGCAACATAGTCATAGTTGATTTATGTGCAAAAAAAAAAACAAAACCATTAATTAAATTAAAACCATTACTCCCGCCAGCTTCTTGCATTAAGCGTCTTTTAATTCGAATGCCTAGAGCTCTTACGCTGTTTGCCTATTTTTTAAGGCCAAAAAATTGCTATGTATGTATGTATGTCTTCGTATGTTTGTATGTATGTATGTATGTATGTATGTATGTATGTATGTAAATTATTTTGTAATCTGTGTAAGTTATTAATTTTATTACAGCGATTGTTATGCATTTTTAGTACTTCGCTTGAACAATAATATCCTCTAGAAATAAGTATCGGGCGAGGGCTTTTTGTTTCAAATCTATTCTTAGAGTTGTGGAAAAGCACTCAATTCGGCAATTGAAAATTTAGTAAATACACTATCCGATAACTGTCATGAATCGAGAAACCGAAAGACAATCGCTGATAATCTCTTTGAAAGCATTAATGACTGATGACTGATGTTTACAAACATTGATCTAAGGTTCTAGTCCAATATTTCCAAGATTCATAAAAAACAAATGAAAATCTTTACCATTTGCTTATAATTACTTCGATGATTGTAGGTCGTATAATTAAATTTAATTTCAAATTTATTTTTTGTTGTTCTTTCCCAACAACATAGTGATTGTATGGCATAGTATATATAAGGTAAACAACAATTAAATACACAAACTTCTTGAGCATATTTATAAATGTTGAATATTTTAATTTCATTGTTATTGTTTGGTAATAAAAGACACACACACACTCACACATATATACATACATACATACATGCACAGAATTCTGTGCGATGTCCGTAACGACGGACATATGAAGATGTACGATCGATGGTTGTGTGCACTTTCTATAAATCTACGGAGTTGGCTTAAAGAAAAATAAATAACAAAATAATAATATTGCGCAACATGATGATGATCTCAAATGATTTTACATGTTTGGTGCAAAACCGATCCAACTTCCAAAAAAAAAAGTGAAAGGAAGTTGACTTCCTGTTGTTGCTAAGGTCTAAACATCGCATACATTGATTTATATATTTGTATGGTATTTGAAGAAAAGTTGCAATAAAAATATTTGTACAGGATGTACATGTGGATGTATGTGCGTGTATGTACATAAATATATGTGGTACTATTGATATAGCACTGATATGAAAAACATATCGTACGACCTACAGAAAGTCATAGCAAAACAAAAAGATTATGAAAATTGTTAATTTTCCCTGCACACGTACACTTTCCTATCATACGTTGTCTTGTTATTTTGCGTACATTATTATTAATGTATTTTAATTCAGGGAAAGATAACTGCCAGCAACAACAAGGCGCGCAAAACTAGTTAATATCTTTTCTTTGCTTTCTTGTTTTCATTACATAAGTTGTAGCCAGTAAAAATAATAAAAAAAAAAAAACAAGCAAGAAAATTATATTCGATTGTGACCGAATCTTTTATACCCATCACCGTTGTTCTAAAAAAGACAAAAGAACTACAATTTCATTCATTATTCTAACATATTGGGTAGGCCAGGCTGGTTTTTTCTATTTTCTGCATAAAAGAGGCATAGTTTATATGGCGTAGCATTATGAAGGTATTGGTAAAAAAAAAAAAGTTTTGATTCATATTAATATTGGGTGGGCGCGGTCAATTTTTTCGATTTTTATACAGATACTACCGCATCGTTCATACAATATACGTAGTTTATGAATAATAAACATAAAACAAATCTTGTCTTCCTTTTGAAAAACACAAGTGTCCTAAGTTTACCTGATGTGATAATGCAGGCATTATCTTCGGCCGATTTAGCACAGCTTTAATGCTATCCTGCATGCAAGAATTTTATTCATTTCTTCATTTTTGCGACGAGGATTATGTTTACAGCAGACTTTACACAGACGGACAGATGGACATAAATCGATTCAGCATTTGATGTTGTTCAACAATATATATATATATATATAAGTTTCGTTCTGTGCGTTGCAAACGCTTTGAAAAGTGAATATAGTCACTCATCCTTCGCTGGTGGGTATAAATAGAGAGAAATAAAAAAACGACAGAAACAACATATAGAGAGAGATTTGTAGACAAAATCTGTGGATTTATTTAGTTCGAACGTTTGATTGCCTGTGTACGGAGACGCCTGGTTAACTGGCTGCATAGCTAATGCTGATAGGTCGTTTGCCAGTTTTTTTTCGTTTTTTTTTGTTTTTTTCTTAAATAATAAGTAAACATAAAAAAAAAAGACAACGACGAAGTAACCAAAACGAATTGACATAATTTCCGAACTATTTTCATTTATACGCATACCATGTCCACGCAGTCGGACATGATATGAAAATGTGTTTCAAAATTAACCTAATTGGGTAGACAGGGGATTTGGCTGGATGCGGTTTTAATTTCAATTACAGTTTCAGTTTTTTACGCCATTATTTATTTGCTTAGTTTTGTATATGTTTTTTTTTTTTATTTTTTTTGGTTAACCCACTCTCTCGTTAAGTAATCGGTGCCTGATAAACAACATACGAGTACTTAAGAAACTGGGTTAAATCTTGTCTCAATAATTAACTATAGTAATTTTCAAGTAAGATTGCAACAATAACAACAAACAACATCATAATAATAGGTTATGCACGTTAACAATGTGAACGAGCTCTTTTTATATATATGTACATGTTTATGCTTACACATATAGGCAGTTAAATAGTTTAAAATTAATTTATCAGCTGTCAATCAATCGAAGAAATCGCTGTCGTATGCAGTGGCAGCCCACGCTTTTACAGTGCAACTTAGGTAAAAATCAAGAGTTTCGTACATAGGAGAGGGGGCTTCAGGTGCATATAAGATGTTGGTTAACATTATGATTTATTCTTCGACTTTTCGCTATTACGATCATGGACGGACAATTTATGGATTGGTAAGCTTTCAGATTTATCCGAACACATTAGGGTTTATAAAATGAATTAAATTCTGCTTGAATCGGAGGGTATTGGCTCTTACCCTTCAGCATTACCTTTCGGTCTTCAATTCCATTAGATATGAAAAGAAATAACGTATGCATATGCACAGGTATGGATTCGTAATCATATATGCATGTTGGTGATGCAGTATTAAGGAGAAATTGCGTGGCTTTCACCACGTTCATGAGGAAGGGGACTTAAAAAATACGAACTTTTTTTTAAGAGAATATTCAAAATTGCAACCTTTCCCTTCATAAAGACATTCACATTCTTAAAACAGAACATTATAAGAAGCATCACCCGATTGCATTCTTGGGCTAGCACATGTTAATGTAAGAACTTTCATGTATATATATGGAAAATTACGACTTGTGGGTTAAACGCATGCATACATAGACAAATAAAGTACGGACAGACAGTGCGTAAATTAACACATCTTGTGAAGCAAACGATGTAAGGTGAAAAGAGAAAAGGTTACATTAAATTCTTTCGCTTACCTAGCCGAGTAGGCAAACGATCGCGACACAACTCGCAACTCATTGGTCGCTGATTCAAATCGCAAGTGCGGGTAGAGTTTGCAGATACAGGCGAGAGCATACACGTTTTAAGTTATCTGGCAGCCTTTAAAAAATTCATACCAAGTGAATTTGTAAATGAAATCAAGTGAAAACATTATAGCCGGCCTAGATCGACTATCCCTACCCTACACCATATTATCGTATACTATTCTTATTTTTCCCTAAAGAACACTAAAATTGTAACCTATTTCTATATGAATTTACTATTATGGAAATGTATGTTAAAAGTCACACTTCTTTCCAAATCAAGGCTTACTTCCCGTAAAAATAATTGTCGTAAGTGGTTCAAAAGTTGCGGTACGAATTCAAAATTCAGCATAGTCAAGTCACACTTCTTTCCAAATCAAGGCTTACTTCCCGTAAAAATAATTGTCGTAAGTGGTTCAAAAGTTGCGGTACGAATTCAAAATTCAGCATAGTTAATATTTATTTCAAACTATTGTTACGGATCAATTTTCACCATAAAATATTAAAACTCAGACTTTTCAAGACATGCAAATTCTTTTAAAGGGGTAGGACCCGTAAATAAGTGTACGTTGTTCAAATTTTGTAGAGCTAAATTTTGTATTGTATTCGAATAGGATAAAATCCAAAAATAGACTTGGCTGGTCCAAATTTGGCACAATTAATTTTTTTATCTTATTATTATTATTATTATTTTAATTTTAGACTAATGAATTGAATTCTTAGACTAAAAAAAGAGACATTGAGCACTAGCAACACAGGCTATCGGCTCTTTTTTTATCTTAAATTGCTATTATGTGTTAACATATTAGACTTTTCTACCTTACAAAGGATCAGTTCTTGTGAAACTCTATAAATAGGGTAGGATCCAAAAAAATAGGCTGAGATAGTCAAAATTTGATAAAGTTAATTGTTTATGTTGATTTACTATTATGATATGATTTTCTTATTGTCGTATGAACTTTAGTTTTCGTTATATGAGAGGGAGTTCAAAATTTGGCCAAGCCGGTCCAACGTGTTCATCCCACTTTAGAATGCCGAAATATCACTACTTAGCCGAGAAAATTTGAAAATTTGAATTTTTTTCCATATAACAACTTTTCGGAATAGGGTGTTATATGGGGAGTGATCGGACAAGTCCGATCCGAACAATTTTCAATAGAATTTGCCATTGGGTCAAAACACGTGACTGTACTAAATTTTATAAAATTATCTCAAAACTTGTACTCTGTAGTTTGAACACAAAGTTGCATGGATAGATATCACACGGACAGCCAGATAGATAGGGTTAGATCAATTCAGAGTATGATTTTGAAACGATCTGTATAATAAAATGTGGGTGTATCTTAAGTCTTTTTAATGCTAATGTATAAAGGATACATTAGCAATTTGCTTTGTGAATGAATGAGTGAATCCCATGGCTTTGATGATAATTGAACTTTGATGATATCTGAAGGGAGCCTTAAGTAAAAAGTTTGAGGAGCAGACAGGCGGCAATCAGTCATATCTGAAAGGATTTCCCGTTATGTATACTAATTAGGAATGCGTATATGTATATAATATGTGCCAAGTGTGCGTAGTGAAAAATATAATAATTGTTGTGAATAGTAGGGAATAAAACCGATTTTTTTATTTAATTTTTTATTTAATTGTGATACCTGCACTGCCCGGGGAATAGATTCCCATATAAGCCCTATAATTTATATGTATAGGTACACGCATAGTCAAAAATATATGCATCATTATTTATATCAATCAGGAGTACGTAGGAGAAGTAACTATGAGATCGATTTTTTGGACAGATTTTTATTCTATTTACGTTTTGTTGAATTAAATTAATTAAAACTTTGTGTCGTCTATTTATGCTTTCCTTCTCAAATGTGCATGTGTGCGTGTGGTGCAGTTAAAGATGATTCGCGCGCCTTTCAATTTTGGGTCGCAAATTCGAAAAATTCTAGTTTTATATCGATGGCTATAAAAGGTCAACAAATGTACAGGTTGGTGTAGTTGTTAAAGCAAGAGTTAACGAATTTAGCGATAAAATGCGGTTTCGATTCACTTGATAATTCACTTATTCACTATTTTCTGCTTTCAATTTCAGACTTAATTATCCATTACGGGTTCGTCAATGGCATCATACTTGCACTTCGTGGAATGGCAAAACTGGTGAATGGCAGGTATGGCTAAAAGCAGAACGTATCGGACGCGGTTTCCATAACTCGGTAAGTTTTACTTTTCACAATACAAAAAAAAAAAAAAAAAACACAAAACCAAAAAAAAAACATTAAAACAAAAAATTAAATAACTTGTAAGTGAAAAAAAACCTGATTTTTATTTATTTATTTTTTTTCCTATAAGCTGTACTCCTTTCACTACTAACACGATTTTTCAAATTACATATGCACATGTTGGAATTGACTGATACCACATTTGTTTGTGTGACTAACTATTTTTTGTTAATGATAATGTGAAAGTGGAATTGGTTTGGGCCTTTAAATGCTCTCTTTCGTTCGCTTTGCTCATTCATTTCATTCATTCGCGTTCGCAGCTAGTGAATCATAAGATACGTGCGGGTGGAAAACTGTTCTCGGGCGGTCCCTCAGTCACTGGTAAGGTTGCCGAAGGCTTACACTTCGAAGTGACCTTGATACAAATCTATCGTATCGCTTTAAGTGCTGGCAAGGCCCATCGTGATCACAAGCATCATCATGCTCATCATTTTGATCACGATGGCAGAGAAATACAACGTACCACGCGACCTCCACCACCAGCGGTATAAAAATCAATACAAGTAATAAGAAAAATAAATAATCTATATATGAATGATATCTTTTGCAGATTAACCGTCCTCAGTCAATGCACAGTTTGCTGGCCAACGGACAGATACCGACTAGGGTGCGCATTAATTTGGCTCAGCCGGTACAGAAACCAAATATGCCAGCATCGAATTCGTTAAGCGATCAACCTTTAAGTATAAACACAAATTTTGTTAATGGTCAGATTAATTCCGGTTCACGTTTGGTAGCGCAACAGCTAATCGGTTTGAATCAAAATTTTGATTCCGGCCCTCAAACCAGTCATACATTTAACCACCAGGCCGTTTACAATCCGAATTCCAATGCGAACTCGAATGTGCAGTTCATAGATGAAACGGAAACTCGCATTCTATTTAAAAGAAACGTCGTCGATTTGAAGAAGAAAAAGTTTAAGAAAAGATCGACTACCGCCGAGAAAGATGGTAAAATCGTGAAGAAGAGAGGTCTAGTTCTATTGGACAACGGCAGTGTTTTAGATGATCCCCTGCTCGCCGATGGTAATCAATTCAAATTTGATGGTTTGGCCGATTTCGGTGGTCAACAGTTTAAAAACTATTTGACTGGACATGGAAAAGAGGATATTGAAGACGAGATCTCAGAACATGATCGCGAGCCCGCCGAAGACGAAGTGAAAGCGGTAATGTCCTTGTGCAGTCTATGTGAAATTGAGCCCTTTGAAGGCGCTATAGTATTCGCATGGAAAGGAGGCCACGAACAGCTGGATAATGCTCTTAAAGGATATAGTGTGGGTGGTTGTGGCGAATTCTAAAAACAAATCAAAAAGCAAAAAGCAAAAAACAAAAGTATTTTCTATTAAAAGACGACGAGCTATTCATTTTTGTACATATATATATTTTCATTTATTTCTTTTGTAAAAAGTGTTTTTGCAAGTCTTTCACGACTAGTCAGGGAAAGAGGAAATCTTTTTTTTTTTATATTTTCGTTTTTGAAACGTACAAGTTTTTATTATTTGTCATAAAAATTATTTAAAATATTTAATAAATTAAAAGAAGATATGTCTAAATTTGGTACTCACTTTGGACTTGTGTATGTGTTGAGTTTTGTAATCTGAATCGAATTCCGGCTCACTGAAGTAGCTCTATAATCGAAAACAGGAAATCAGAAAAATAATTGAGAAAATATTTTTTTTTTCGTTTTTTGATTCATTATTAAATTTACTTGATCTTGATCCCAGTGGGTTGGAGTAGGTTGCGGTAATGGTTGAGGTATGCCTGGCCCGCCTGGTAGTATCTGTGGTGGTGCCGCCACTTCGGTTGATTCGAATAAACGCAATACCGAACGATCACGTATTTCCCTTAGATGCGAGCGAACATCTTCGAGTTCATAAAACATATCCTTGCTAGCATCGTGTATATATATTTTAACATTAGGTCCTTCCAGATAAGACATTGTCAGTTGTCGGGGAAATGAGCGCACGAATAGAGCGCGCACCGTATCAATCGAAGTGATTTCATTGGGCAACAATGCACGTTTCGTTTCTGAACGATATTGCAAAAATACCAAACCTACCAACGAGAGAAACGTCCTTTTATATCATCGGGCAGGCATAAGTGTCATGTGTAACACCCACCTAGTGGCCTTTCTAAGGTTTTAGAAGGTGTACGCACAACTGGTAACGAAGAACGTTGCTTACCACCACGTCTAAACCCCGTGCTGGATGTCTCAACCTCCGACATAATACCCGGATCATCGTCGAACAGCGGTCCCTGATTGATGGACTGATAACCACGTGTCGCTTGCATCTAATAACGCAAAGAAAAAGCTAAGCTATACTATACATTTTATGATAAAGATTCTACAGCTTTATCTACCTTCTTGGTTTTCTGATTGCGGGTACTCATCTGCAAGATAAGCGGAAAATAGGAAAAGTATGATTTAAAATACAATGTAGGAAAGAGAAGGAACGAAAAAAATATGCCGAAGGAGGAGGAAAACTCGCAACACCTTCCACCTCCTTACACTTAATGATATGTCTTTAAGTTTTGATTAGAATAAAGACAAAATAATCGCATCATCTGTTTCACTGTCTCCATTTCCCTCTATCACTAATTCTAATTTCCAATCACCACTGTGCCCCCTTATACAACGGGCATCGGTTGAGTGGCCGGTCAATTAAAAACAATAACAAACAGAAAATAAAAATAATAAAAAAAGTTGTGTTGGGCTAGATTCGAACCTTGTGTGCACGTCAGTATTCATGTTATCGACCTGTGCGCGTCTATTTTGATGGTAGGAATGAAAAGCTCTACACAATGTGAAATGAATGCGTTTTCCACTGTAACGTGAGAAGAACCAGCAACAAAAAAAGTGGGCGTGGTCAATTCTTTTCACTGTACCTTCATGCGTAAATTTAACAAAATGATTTTCTGAATCTTATAAGTAATCAAACAAAGACGTCAAAACAAGTGAACAAAACTGTGTATTTGTTCACTTATAGCTTTGTGCGGGCGTAGCCTATTTTTTCAATTTTTGAACATAAAATACACTTAGAAGATTTTAGCATTCCGCCTTTTATAATTTATATAGAGTAGTGAGCAAAATCGAAGAAGCAAAGATGCTTTCAGTTTCCGCTTTATTGTAGGCGTGTTTTTTTGACCGATTTGGCCTATTTGGTACAGCAATATACGTGGAGGAAATTTAAATATTTCTTGCATATTTAATCAGGAGACCAAGTGGAGTGTTAACCAAACACAAACGAACAGACAGATATGATAAAACTTGTGCTCAATGGGGCCTCTGAAGCCTGCTTTGTGATCTTGGGAACATTATTAACGAAATGAGTATTCCTGATTATACAAAAATATACGTAGAAAGCTTGAAGTGTGTTTCTTAAAGCTCATTACTAAGTTCATTCCTAATCTCCTTAATATTTTCAAATCTACGCCTTAATTAGGAGTGGGTATCGCATTAATTCGTGACTGATTTTCTGCTTTTTCCAAATAAAAAATGTCTCTCTACTCTCCGGTTATAATTAAATCCTTACTGATTTTTACTTGCCCCGCTAACTAACTAATTAACATAGAAAACCGTGGACGTAGGCAGCATTGATTTAATTACCTCCAAATCCATTGATTTCGGTTGCTGTTGATTTGGTTGATTGGCATACGCCAACATATCACCGCCTAGAGTATGACGTCGGGGGTCTTCACGTCGCATACCGCGTCTTCGCTCGTCACCTAAAAGCATACCAAAATACAAACAATATACATACAAACGTACATATATATATGGGAAAATATGTTAGTCAAACTTTGAAATGCGATTCTATGTAAAATGTACTTGAAACGAAAGAGAGATATAGAGAGATAGAGCGAGATAGATATATTGATAGATAGATAGATAGATAGATAGATAGAGAGAGAGAGAGAGAGAGAGAGAGAGAGAGAGAGAGAGAGAGAGTGAGAGAGAAACAGGGAAAGAGTGAGCGCGGAAGGAAGAGAAAAGGGGAGAAAGAATGGCAGAGGGAAAGAGAAAAGATAGAAAGCCAGCGCGAGAGCGAGAGCGAGAGATTTATAGAAAAAGAAATGATGAAATTGCAAAACAAAAAAGAATTTTTAATTTTGAAAAAAGAATTTCGGTTTTTTTTTTTTTAATTTTT